TGCATTCAATATTATTTATACAATTGTGCATGTGGCAAATATCGAGTTTGCATTTCGGCAACAAAAGCTGCGCGCCAGCTACGGCAATAGACGTGAATGCCATTTAGCCAGATAACGCCTACGCCGACTGTACAGAAATTTATTTATTTTTCTATTTTTTTTTAGTTTATTGAAAGTCTGCAAATAAGTTTTAACAGTTTTATACAAGTTTCAGCTGCACCTGTTGCCTCTTCAATGCGAATTGTCATTGTCTTTCTTATGCAAACTACGTGGATTTTGCATTTGCTTTCGCATGGCCAAAGTTAAATTAAAACCCATTTTTTTTTGCGTGCTTCTCTGCTTCACACGCTGCAAAAGAAAAACATCAGCGAAAAAGTTTGCCACATAGCCAAACCAAAGCCCAGCAGCACCACACACCACCCACCACCCACACATTGGGTGGGCGTGGGGTTGGTTGTTGGGCGTTGCACAAACTACTATACAAAAACAACTGCCTGTTGCACTTTCCTATATACCTGGAACGCTTCCAGTGTTTGGGTCTCTGGCCTTCCAACATCCCCAAACCACCAGAACAAAAAAAAAACAAAAAGAAAAATTTGAAGAAATAAAATAAAAGCAAAATACGAATGAAAAAAAAAACTAGAGTAGAAGCAGAATAAGAAGCTGAAAAAAATGCGATATAACACCCAACTCCTGCTGCAGTGTTGCAGCAACAGTTTATTTTATGTGCTACGCTTTTGTAGTTAGTCAGAAACAGTGTGAAAGAGGAAGAGAGAGAGAGAGAGAGAGAGAGGCAGTGAAAAAAACAAAAGAGATAGATAAAGATAGATAAAGAGGGAGAGACAGAGATAGAGAGTACCAACTGTAGCTCGCTTTTCTGTTGGCGCTTTGACTGCAGCCAAAGCGCAGCCAATTTGAATGAAGCAATTGATTTTAAATGCATTTTCTATTTCTATTTTTCCATTTTATTTTATATTTTTGTTCTATTTTCTAATTTTTGCCTTTTTTTTTTTTGTGCATAAATTTAAATTTGATAAACGCAAATGCGTTTAGTGCAAAACGCCAATGCGTTTAGTGCAAAACGCCGCTCTAGGCTTTAACATGCTAAAAGCCTATTTACACAGTCCAATTTCCAGTTTAGCTTCTATGAATCACGCACGAGGCCTGATGCACTCTGTACTAAAATAGAATACATAGGAAAATTATATTCTACGGAACTATATTGCTATATTATTGATATAGAGTAACAGAAATAAGGCTTTATGTGGTACATCGGTATATAGTATATTTGATCAAACTAACCAGCTGAGTAGATCTGGAGTTTGTCTACTGTATTGCTGTTTCTGTGCTCTTTACTCCTACTATTGTTTAACCAGCTGAGTCGATATTGGTTCAATCTTCTGTATATCGCAGATTATCTTCTATTTTATGTTAAACTGCTTCCTTGATATCATTACTAGTTTGCATTATAAGTAATCATTGGAATTTTCTAGAACTTATTGTAGATTTAGTTACTGGAAACAGCTTATACATATATAATTCTAATTGTACATATTCCATAATCTGGAATCCTCATCTGGAACTGAGAAAAGAATTCATTATTCAGAATAATGCAATTTTTTTCAAGAATTCTCTGCTCATATATGTATGTGTAGATATGAGAATAAAGGTATCAAGCCGTTTGCAGAGTAACTGTAACTGTAACTCAATCGGAGCACCCTTTTTAACAGGGTATCTGCTAGCTAGTCAGCCAAATCAGTGTTTTTTACAGACTATCTGCAACTCACTCCTGTCTACAGGGTATCTACAAGCCAATCAACTCGTTTAAATGAATAATAGCTAGAGCACTCTTGTCACATAAATTTATAATGTGCCCCAAAAAAGGAAGAAGAAGAAGAAGAAGAGAACAGAAATTGGCTAAACTTTGGTTTTGTGAGTCACACTGAGTCAGCAATGGGATGCATGTGACGACTGTGCCGCGTGGCTGACTGTTGCCTGTTGCATGTAGCTCGCTGCTCGTTGCTCGTTGCCTGTGCGGCAAGTTGTTGCATAAGCAACAATAGCTTGTGCGACTTGTTGCCAGTGTGCCACTGCCCCTGCCACAGCCACTGCTGCTGCTGTCGTTGAGCACTTCTAATCCAATCACACGAACAATGGCAATGCAAATGCAAGCTCAGTCGCAGCAGCTACAGCTAGAGCAGCAGCAGCGTGGCTGCAACTTCCTTTGTCTGCCATTGAGAGCCATATGCAACGCAGACGTTGCAATTGCCGCGCTGACTTGCCTTGCCGCTGTGTTGATGGTCAAGGTCATGAACCTGTTCCAATAACTCGTTTTTCTTACGTGCCACACACACACACACACACACACACACAGACACACACACACACAGACACACACAAACAGACAGACAGGGAGACAAACAGACCGACAGACGAGCGGACGGACAGTTAGACAGGGGTATGGACTGGCAGCCAACAGATGATTGTGTGTTGCATGCTGGCTAAAGTTGTTGCGCTCTGGCTCTGCTCTAATGCTAATCCTGGCAGATTTGCCAGCATGCCAGCGGCATTTGGCTTTTGCTTCCATGCCATGACTAATGGCTGTCTAATGGTCCAAGCAGCGGCTGCCAAGCGGCAGCTCAAATCAATTTGCCAAACATGAAATTAAATTTCAATTCAACTTAACAACACACAAACTTGTTGGTGCCACACACACACACACACACACACACATAGAGCAAGGACACGTGGCAACAATTTATATACATAGTATATGTATGTCATATATACGAGAAATGAATTGCGATAAATTGTCGTGCGTGGGCGTCGTCCACCTGGCTGATTCATTGTTTTGTTTTTCAGCTTCGGCCGTGTTCAGTGTCAGCGAATGAATTATGCGAAATCAAAATGCGATTTGCTGCAAATCAAACAAAGAGAATCCATTCGAGCAAATGCTTCCGTCTGTCAGCGCGTTGAAATTAGAAGCGCATTAATTAGAAATCTTTATTATTCTAATTTTTTTCCATTTCCATTTCAATTTCTATATTTTTTTTAATGAATTCAACACAATAAATTTGAGGCGACATTTGTGCATAAATCGCAAATAAAGATTTCCGTGAATTTCTTTTTATTTTATTTCTGTATATTTTGTGCATTGAGACGCATTCAACGGCAGCAGCAACAACAACAACAACAACGGCAACATTTTGTCAAAAGCTGCCCATATTGATAATTGTGCATTTGATGCCCATTGTTGAATTTGTTGGGGTCTGTGGTGCGTGTGTGTGTGTGGAAGCAAATATGGCGTGCACTTGTCGGGCTTCGCGTCTTATTTATTTTGCCATCTCTTACGGAAAACTTTGTTGAGGTTAGGTTAAAGAGCCAAAACGAAATTTTGAAAAAATTAACAATTGAAAATTACTTATACTTATACTTATACTTATACTTATACTTATACTTATACTTATACTTATACTTATACTTATACTTATACTTATACTTATACTTATACTTATACTTATACTTATACTTATACTTATACTTATACTTATACTTATACTTATACTTATACTTATACTTATACTTATACTTATACTTATACTTATACTTATATTTATACTTATACTTATACTTATACTTATACTTATACTTATACTTATAATTTATACTTATACTTATACTTATACTTATACTTATACTTATACTTTATACTTATACTTATACTTATACTTATACTTATACTTATACTTATACTTATACTTATACTTATATACTTATACTTTATACTTATACTTATACTTATACTTATACTTATACTTATACTTATACTTATACTTATACTTATACTTATACTTATACTTATACTTATATATACTTATACTTATACTTATACTTTATACTTATACTTATATTTTATACTTATACTTATACTTATACTTATACTTATACTTATACTTATACTTATACTTATACTTATACTTATATATTTATACTTATACTTATACTTATACTTATACTTATACTTATACTTATACTTATACTTATACTTATACTTATACTTATACTTATACTTATACTTATACTTATACTTATACTTATACTTATACTTATACTTATACTTATACTTATACTTATACTTATACTTATACTTATACTTATATACTTATACTTATACTTTATACTTATACTTATACTTATACTTTATACTATACTTATACTTATACTTATACTTATACTTATACTTATACTTATACTTATACTTATACTTATACTTATACTTATACTTATACTTATACTTATACTTATACTTATACTTATACTTATACTTATACTTATACTTATACTTATACTTATATTTATACTTATACTTATACACAATGTTGATATCCAGTACCACCTGCAATGCGCTCCCCTTCCCCTACGCTTGTCAGCTCTAGCCTTGCTCAAGAATTTGCGAGCTCTCCCCCATTCCTGTCCAACTAATTTCACAACTCAAAAAGAATTCGAAGCAGCAGCAAAAAATATGGTGAAAATATGCAAAAAAAACAAACTCTTTGCATTTTGAGTGCAAATGACAAAGGGAGAGAGATTTTACAGAGAGAGCAAAAAATGTGCGTTTCACATGAAAATCAATAAAAGAAAAATGAAAAATTACAACAAAAGTATAATACAATTTATTAACAGCAAAAAGTTTTTGTCAAAAAAAAATGTGCATATTTTTTACAGCATTGTTTTTAGTGTTCATGGAATATTCTTGACCTTTTAGAGTGAGCGATAGTGTATGAATGTATATGTGCGTGTATGTGTGTGTGCGGGTAGCTCGTGTTGCGGTTTTTACAAAGCATGTAGAATGCACTCACTCAAAAGCACACACACACACACCCACACACTCACACACATATGTTCACATGTTAAGTTTGTGGAAATGTTAAAACAAAAATGTAAATTTAATATAGGTATGCAAATGTATATATATATTATTAATATAGAATTTTACTTACTTTCAGTGTTCAGCAATAGTTTTCAGTTATTTGCGTATTTCGCGCACGTTTCAATATAAAAAAATGTTTTGCTATTAATACAATTGTGGGATTGTTTGTTTCTTAAATTCTTAGAGTCACAGCACTTGAATTGTCATTAATATATATATATATATATACTTCAGCAGAGATTTTGTTAGATTGATTTATGATTTGGTCTTCGATGAAGGGAAACACAAATTTGTTATCACAAGCGAAACGCACGTCAACTGTTTTGCTAGTCTTTGGGCTAGCGAAGAGGAAGCACATGCAATGCACTCTTACACACACACACACAGGCATAGATGAGAGCAGACGCACACTTATACACATGTACGTATATATGTGTGTGTGTGTGTGTTGGTAGCAGCAGCAGAAAATAAATAAAAATTTCGCACCGCGACCAACGTCAACAACAAACAAACACCGACACTAACAACAAGCGCAGACAACTTTACTAATACGTAAACAACAAAATCGACTAACTTGACTACGACGTCGACGTCGACGCTGACGCTGCCGTTGACGTTGACGCTGACGTCGCTGCTACTGCTGCTGCTGCTGCTGCTGCTGTTGTTGTTGCTGCTGCGCTGCGCTGCGCTTACAACGACAATCCGAAGCTAAGGCAAAAGCGTACCGAACCGTTCGAAACGACCGACAATAAAGCTGCCATCCAGCTGAGCTGCCCGGCACTTTGACTATGAGCTGGAGCCCAACTGAGCGGCGGCAGAATGAGTGCAGCGGCGTGCTGCTCTCCACACACTCACACTCACAATCAAAATCACTCGCACACACACGCACATGACAAAGAGCCAGCCACAATGCTGCGTTGTAAAGGTCTAAGAAAAGTTTCGCAGTTCGCATGCATTTGCCTTGGCTGAGAACAAACCGCTCAAGTTACAACTGTGTGCATGTAAGTGTGAGTGTGAGTGTGTTGAAAAAAAATTGCAGTGGCAGTGTCAGCGCGCTAGCGAGAGATAGACAGAGAGCGAGAGAGCAACAGAGAGGAAGAGAGTGTGAGAGAGAGAGAGAGAGACCCTGGCCAAGTGGGAGGTAGCAGCCGGCTAGCTGCTGTATTGTGTCAATGTATTGGTGCGCTTCATTCATGGCAGCCGGCAAAAAAACGTTAAAAGCGAAATTGGTTAAAAAAAACTCAAACTCACACACACACACACTGAGACACACACACTCGCAGTGCAGAGAGCAAACAAAAAAATGTAAAGAAAATGGTGGCTAGAATCAACTGGGAGCGCAATGAAAAAAATTTGTCATCTCCTCCTGGCTAAAGAGCGCGAGAGCGACTGCTGAGCGGCTGCAGGCGGGGAAGGCCAGTGTCAGTGTGTTTTTAATTGCACTTGGCGCTGCATTAGTGTGTGTAAACACACGCACACACACACACACATAGGCACACACAGCTGTCTCAGCGCTCAGTTAAATGCACTCAGAACCAAAACGCGCTCTGAGTGCGTTTTTTTGCAATTTTGTTTTCTTTTTTTTCGTTATTTTTTAGCCTTTTTTTTCGCTTAATACATTTTGTGCATTTTGCTCTCCATTTTGTAATTTTTCAACAGTTCTTTTTCGGTTGCGAAAACAAGTCCGAAACTGCGACGACGACGACGACGGCGACGGCGACAGGCAACGCTTTGTTTAGCGCTGGAGACGAAGACGGAGACGCTCACTCACCGCTCGAAATGCAACTGGCGACTCCGACAACGCGCGCCCGTTGCACATGCACTTTTAGTTGTTTGTTGTTGTTGCTGTTGTTTTTTTTTTTTTTTTTTTTTTTTTTTTTGAGTGTGCAACGGTTGTGCGAATGTCGAGCGCGCGCGAGAGCAAAACTGAAATTATAATAATTCGCCCAGCCGGACGACAGACGGACGGCGAATTTGACTCGGTTTGCAGCGACTCAATTGCATGTCATTGTAGACGAAAAAAAAAGAGGCGAAAATAAAAATACTTTTGAGAATTTTCGGCACAGCGAATTATGGACTCTCGACTCTGTGTGCGAGAGTGAGATAGATTGATAGTGGAGGGGGTGCTGGAGTGGGGGGAGTTGCAGTCTAGCTGTGACTACGGCTGGGGCTGGGGCTGGGGCTGGGACTGGGTCTCTGCCTGAATTTAGTCGTGACTCGGTTTCAAGGTCTCTCAATTAATGCGAAAATTTCGTTGTAAATGTTTTTTCATTTTTTTTTTTTTATTATTATTTTGTTTATTTTTGTTTGCATGCTTGTAACAAAATTCGTGTATAATAAATATAGTAATTGTTTACCTATTTTTTTACGACTTTAATGCTTTTCTAATAAGCGAAATATTTGTTGATTTTTTAATTGCATTTACATTTGTTAACGGCGACTCTTTGACCTTGGGCCTTGCATAGTCAAGAACTGGCATTTGAATTGGCGAAGGTGATGGAGGCGTATACATACATACATATACTTATGTAAAGGTGTTTGTATATGCGTGTATATAAATGTTTGGTTATATGATACTAATTGAAACGAGGTTTTGAGCTAAATCAAGCCTTGACTCAAGTTGACATTGTTTTTTTAGAAGCTAATAAGGAATAATTTTTGTGAATCGTAATTCGAGAATACAATGTCTATATAATTATATAGAGTAGCTATAGAAAGCAACGATAGTTCTTAGAAGAAACATATGTCATATGTGATTGATTTATACTGATTGATCTTCGAATTGAGGTGAGCTAAATGCTTAAGCTTAAATCAGTAATCTTTGAAATCTACGAGATTCGAGAAATTAACATCATTGATGATCAGATTATATGAAGATAAACCCCTTGCAGATACACAATGAAATTAACAAGAAACAGAAGGGAAATACATTTCAAAACAAACTCGCTTTTAATTCGTGTCCTCTGACCATTCAAGCCGTAGACTTCCGTGTTGAGCGATATAAAAGCATAAAGCAGCTAAAAAAAAAAAAAAAAAAAACAACAACTAGTAAGTGTGGAAGTACGACTAGAATATACTCTGCATTTTATATAAAAATATATGATGCCAATAAATAGGTTTGGGCATAAGTAAGGTAGGATGATGGAAAAACGAATAGGAAGTAACTGTTCCTATGAATAAACCTGTTTATAAACATGAGAATAGAGTACAGCCAATATACCCTGCATACCACATTTTCAATGGGTTTGGGGTACAAAAAAACATACAAGAAATGTCGCCAAAGAGGAACACACATAATTGCAGTATTTACAAGAGATAAAATCGACAACAACATGTAAAAAGCAGCAGCACAAAAAAACTCATAAAAAATATAATATATTTATTTGCATGTATATGTGTATACACATGCATATTTGTGCATAAAAATCTGTTGAGAAGCAATTAAAATGAAAACCACGTAAGCAAATACGAGGGAGCTCCCCGAAAAAGGCGTTAAAAAGTGCCAAAAAATACAAAAAAAAAAAAAAAAGAAGAGTAAAACCCATAAAAACCACCCTATTGCAAAATGCATTTTTCCCCCTTAACCCTTGGCTGCCCCCTTGAGTAACTTAACCCCCTTCGTTTACCCCTTCAATCGTACCCTTGCCTATGCACACAAAAGCAAACGTGCAATTATGTTGAATGCATTTCGAAAAAAAAAGAATAAAGTACCCAAAAAAAAAAAAAAAAAACGTCGAAGCGAATGCACAAAAAACAAGTAAGATGCAATTTTGTGCATAATGAAAAATGCAGCAGGCAACAAATGCACTCACACACACACACACATGCGAACACAGATATAATGAAACGCAGTGCACATTGTAAGCTGAGCTGTGAAATCCAGACCCAAAAATATATTCTAAAATTAAAATGCGACGGCCTGTCGAAATGTAAACAATCAAAGGGGTGCATGATGCACTCACACAGACACGTATATATATATTTATACATACATATATACGATATACGTATATTAAAAGTACTAAAAGTACGCTACTGCAATTCAGAGATGCCATGTTCTGATCAATGAAAAAAAAAATTTAAGTCAAAGTTGTTTTAAATTTAGAATCATTTTAAGAAACATCAACATATTTAAAAAAAAATTATAGTAAGTTTTTTAAATTAAATATATAATAATGATAATGCAAAAAATCTAATTTTAATCAAAATATTATTTAATTTATATTGAAATATAAGAGACATTTTGGGGGAAAAAAATATTCAAAAAGCAAAAAATTATATTATACAAAAAAATATATTGGAGAATGTTTAATTTTATAAAGGAAAATTTAAAATAATTATAAGTGCCTGAATAAAGTTAAAATATTGAAAGAGCAAATTATAAGTTTTATAAGTGTTTTATTATTTAGAAATTTGCAAAAAAAAGTTTAAAATATATTAGTAACAAATAATGATTCCATTATGATTCTATAGGCTCCAAGGGAAGCTTTACAAACTGCAGCTAGCTAAATTCCTATATAAAGGAAAACAAATACCGCTTAAGGGGCGTATAAAAGTTTATTTCGATTCATTTGATAGAGACAAATCTATCCGTAAAAAGGCTAAAATGACAGCACTGCTGCCATAACGATGCAACACACAAAGCCAAGGCAAGAAATGCATGCACTCACACACACACACACAGAGACGAACACTAATGGGGTGGGTTTTGCACTCTTAATATCTTTGCAGCATTTTGGAATGCATAATTTAGCTAAGATTGTTTTTTCTTCAATCTCTTCGTCTTCTTTTTCTGATTTTTTGCAATTAATTCGTGAAATTACGCACTTCCCATGGCTGGGCTGGCTGATGATGGTCTGATTGCTGATTGGCCCAAATGAGCGCCCAGTCAGGAAGTGGAATGCATCCGTTCTAAGCAGCGCCTGGGACATCATTTGGCAAACGGAACTACGGCAAGCGGAAGCAAACAGCAAACACACACACACACACACAGAGAAACACACACGGAAACTGAGCATTGACCACCATAAATAATGAGCGAAATTAAATGCACACTTAACTCAGATAAAGATCAAACTTAAGCCGTAATAATTGGCGACACTTGGACAGCATTTCAGAACGAATGTGCTGCAAACAATTATTCAATTACAGCCGCAACAGCATCTAATGTTAACTAATTGACTAATGTTAACTAATGGCAAATAGAAACTAAACATAAGCTGAAAGAGATACATATGTACATACATATATAGAATAGCGCTCAGAAATCTCGGATTGTATGTTAATATGAATTGTCTTTCAGCTGTGATCCACAAAGTGAGTTATAAAAGTTCTCAAAAATAAATATAAAATCGACCAATATACATTCCACAAAACAAATATATTCTTTTAACTGC